GAGTCAAACCCTGAACCTCAGAACTGTTAGACAGATGTGCTTTTTTTTTTCTTTTATTACCGGTAGGCTAACCACTTGGCCTTTGTGCTCCCCCATGTTCACTCCATGCAGGTTCAATTACTAGATGTCCATATATATAAGTTAAGTATTGGCATGCAATCTTTACTCGTACGCTAATGTGTGACATTTCTGTCTTGTATATGTCTGCAAAATCCTCATAGTTGTATTTTAATTTCTACCTGTTAATTCTTGAGCTAAGTTGCTCACATAGCAATGAGGTTCTGGGTCCAATGGTATCAATGACAAATTGTTAATCTGTGCTTTTATTAAGGGAGTAATCTCGTGATCCAACTTTGTTTTTGCAGTTCTGGGAAGTGATCAGTGACGAGCATGGCGTTGACCCGACAGGGACATACCGTGGAGACAGTGACCTGCAGCTAGACAGGATCAATGTTTATTATAATGAGGCAACAGGTTCTGACATGTGATTGTTTAAATACGTTCGGACATGAATTTTCCCACCGGGTTGTCAATATCATACCATTATCATTCTTTTCCACGTAGGAGGTAAATATGTGCCACGTGCTGTTCTTGTGGACTTGGAACCAGGTACAATGGATTCTGTGAGATCCGGACCCTTTGGACAGATATTCAGACCTGACAATTTTGTGTTTGGTGAGTGATTTAAAATTAGCTCCTGTATCACGAGACAAACGGTTATGGTCACACATCAGATCTTGATGTTCAAAAATGTCAATGTATAATCATGTATTCGATTTAGCACTGCATGCAAGAGTGACCCCGTTTAGATTTGACAAAAGAATTGTGTTGCATGCATGCGATGTAAATAAATCCTACTTACGGTAATCTGAACGTGTTAATGACTAGTTATTGAAGGTGTACATTGAAAAAGGTTTTGTTGAATTTTCTCAGTTTTATTTTGTCAAGTGGGTGCATGAATTAAAATCATCTGGATCCAATGAAATACAATTGAGTGAATTCAACACACCATTTGTTTTCAGTGTAGTGGGTCATTCACCCGACTACAAGGCAGGCAGCGTGATTAGTTTCCATCTCTGATGATGTGAGTCAGTGAATGTAGTCAACCGTGCGCCCAAAGTCAATTGGGCCAGGCTGCTGCTCCCTGCAACACTGAACAGGAGAAGCAGTGACTATAGAAAATGGATGAATGCATGATTAGGACTGCTAAATTGACAAACAAAGGTAATTTTTTCCTCCATAGGTCAGAGCGGTGCTGGTAACAACTGGGCAAAAGGTCACTACACTGAGGGAGCTGAGGTGGTCGACTCGGTTCTGGATGTGGTACGCAAAGAATCGGAGAACTGTGACTGCCTGCAAGGGTACCAGCTGACACATGCTCTAGGGGGTGGAACTGGATCGGGCATGGGAACCCTGCTCATCAGCAAAATTCGTGAAGAGTACCCCGATCGGATCATGAATACATTTAGTGTGGTGCCCTCCCCCAAGGTTAGCCGTCCTTGTTATATAAAGTTTGTGTTGGCTAACGATGCTAAATACGTGCACTTTTTTTACATCAGGTGTCAGACACTGTGGTCGAACCCTACAACGCCACTCTCTCCATCCACCAGCTTGTTGAGAACACAGATGAAACCTACTGCATTGACAATGAAGCTCTCTACGACATCTGCTTCCGCACACTGAAACTGACCACGCCCACTTACGGAGACCTGAACCACCTAGTATCCTCCACCATGAGCGGAGTCACGACCTGTCTGCGCTTCCCAGGCCAGCTCAACGCTGACCTCCGTAAACTGGCTGTCAACATGGTACCTTTCCCTCGATTGCATTTCTTCATGCCAGGCTTTGCTCCGCTGACCAGCAGGGGGAGCCAACAGTACCGAGCACTCACGGTACCCGAGCTCACCCAGCAAGCGTTCGATGCCAAGAATATGATGGCGGCGTGCGACCCGCGTCAAGGCCGCTACCTAACAGTTGCCACTGTGTTCCGTGGACGAATGTCTATGAAGGAAGTGGATGAGCAGATGCTCAACGTCCAGAACAAGAACAGCAGCTACTTTGTCGAATGGATCCCCAACAACGTCAAAACCGCCGTCTGTGACATTCCTCCCCGCGGCCTCAAGATGGCCGTCACCTTCATAGGAAACACCACAGCCATCCAGGAGATGTTCAAGCGTATCTCTGAGCAGTTCACAGCCATGCTGCGCCGTAAGGCCTTTCTGCACTGGTACACGGGTGAGGGTATGGATGAGATGGAGTTCACGGAAGCTGAGAGCAACATGAATGATTTGGTGTCCGAGTACCAGCAGTACCAGGACGCTACTGCTGAGGATGAAGGGGAAGGTGAGGAGGAGGCTGAAGACGACTAAAGCTTGAAGATAATGTCAGTGCATTCATTGGCAAATGATGAAACCAGCATTGGCTGGTCTACAGAGTGGCCGGGGATATTTTGTAGATCTTTGAATAAAAAAAGTTAAGCCTTGTCATATTAAATGATGTTGCTCAACAGAGTATTCATGTAGCATGGTAGCTGTTGGGCAATTCCACGTAGTCCCGGCACGTGTCTGAGTGACATGTTTGCTGCTTTTATGGACAACCAGCATTTGACTTGTTGAAAAAGACTTGTCGAGTTTTTTTGTGGAAGGTGAAACCATATTTTCAAGGCTGGATTCTTGAGATCAAGGCTCATGAGACCTGGTGATCCAAACATTACAATTGAATACAAGGCGTGCCAAAAAAGTTAGACCGGTACTTCAAATCCTGGCTACAAGTTGTCCCCTTCAAAAATGATTCCTAGCCTTTTCTTCCACTCATCACAGCAATGTTCTCCCCTTGTGATGTTGTCCTTCCACAACTGTCACCTTTTCTCGCCCACTGAATGAAGCAATTGCCATAAGCGCTCTTCTGCTGGTTGATCACCTGGCCCACATCGAAGAGGAAGACTCGTAGTTTGGATTTGAGATCTTTTCTGCCACACTTTGTATGTCTCCCCATCAATGGAGAATTCTCCACACGCACACCATGCTAGCACATACCTTTGAGGACCCCTCTCTCTAAATATAGATTTAATTGAAATCTTGGAAAGAGCAAAAATGTCCACACAAGGTCACTTTTTGCAGAGTCACTGTCACATGATCATCAAAAGATAGTTCATTTGTCATGAATACTGTACTCCAACAGCATATCTGTTTTCATGCTGTGTTAAGACAAATGAGGTGGAATCTGAGTGGATAACTTAATATTGTTGGAATTAGCTCACAATGACTGGTGTTTGCTGCCTAAAAGAACCATAAAACCACTGACCAAAAAGCTGTTTTTTTTAAGCAGCATTTTATGTTGTTGTCCTCTATTATTAGTTTGCCTGCTCTTTAGTCTACAGTTCATGCAGCATATTTCAGGCCATGCTGGATTGTCACACGGAAGGGAGTGGTTCTTCAAGGCACAGCAAAAAGACGATCGCAGGGTGAGTGTGGCGGGACATATTGCAGTCGTATTACTGTACATTCACTCCGAAATTCCACCGAGAAGAAAATAAAATAACTCCCGATATCAAACTAAAATCCAGACAGTATTGTAAATAAACAGCATATAATGACTCAACTACTCACGCAGACAGCAGATATACAAGAATCAAATAACGGGTCTCACACGCCACACAATGTTTGACTAACGAGCAGAAATCATTGTAGCTCAATGTTACGCTAACACAGTTAATGTTGCTTTTGGTACAAAGTACACATACAATTTCAAAAACAAAAAAGGAGCTTTTGGAGACGACCACAGCGCATCCTTCCTCTGTAAATTGTTTTGTGCTTTCTGAGACACAAGTGACCGAAAGCAGTTAGATTGCGGTTACTTGAGTTGGCACATTAGTTTCATCAAATCTTTAACCCTTTGACAGTCCTCTTGCCCTTGGAAAACCAAGAACATGCGGGATGCATCACAAGGGGAATATAATTTTGATAGTAAAATATGTAAATGGTAGATTTCCAGCTTTTCCACCTACAGTATACCCTCACAACATGATGCTAGCTGGCCACGTTAGCATGTAACACCACAATATTTTCCACTGAAATCTTACGTTTTAAAGCCACCCAAAGCGGTTTAGAAGTTTGGATAACACATTCTACCACTGGTGCTGCCATATCTATAGCGGTAAATGTGTTTCAGGGCTGAGCAGTAAATGTGCACAGAAGCTTGGGATATTATCCATCCATCCATTTTCTAATCCGCTTATTCTCACAAGGGTCGTGGGAGGTGCTGGAGCCTATCACAGCCGTCTTCGGGCAGTAGACGGGGGATACCCTGAACCGGTTGCCTGCCAATCGCAGGGTACACAGAGACGAACAACCATTCGCGCTCACACTCACACATAGGGACAGTTTAAGAGTGTTCAATCAGCCTGCCATGCATGTTTTTAGAATGTGGGAGGAAACCGGAGCACCTGGAGAAAACCCGCTTGGGATATTAGCAAAAAAAGAAGGAACTTTTCAGAACTGACAAATTCACCCTTTACGCTGCAAAATATGATCACCCATGTTGGGACAAAGCTATAACTTTTAGTCAAAACTGAAGGAGGCAATTTTTGAAAGTCAGCACGGTGTACTAGTGGCTAGCATGTCTGCCTCACATTCTGAGGTTTGGGGGTTCCAATCCTGGGTCCGACCTTCCTGTGTGAGAATTTGCATGTTTTCCACGCGCTTGCGTGGGATTTTTATGGTTACTCCAGTTTCCTCCCAGACAGGTGACAATGTGAGAGGAAATGTTTTTTTCTCTGAAAATGAGTCCTGTGATTGGATTGTGATCAATGCAGGGTGTAAAATGTGCTGGGACAGGCTCTAATTCACCGTGACCCTCTTGAAGATAAGTAGTATAGAATTAATGAATGGATGGATGGGACAGTTTTTAGCTATGACTGATGTCTAAGTATTGTTTGAAGCACACAAAACGTGAACAGAATTTATCATAATGTTATCTGCACACCATGACAGCTTTATCTGTGACACAAGGTGGCATTTGCTTCAGCACAGAGACCAGAATATGTACACAGACAAAAAAAAAAAAAAAAAAAAACTCCATTAAGACAATAGTTATCCCCAAACAGTGAGCCATGGCACATACATCAGAAAACAAGAAATTGTCCATTTTCACTTAATCGGTCAATTTATTTAATTCAAAAAACAAAACAAAAAACAATCTTTGCCAGTGATATATAGCGACAGGAAGGACAATTAAATGCTCTTCCACTAGATGGCAGAAAGTACATCAAGAACTTTTGTGACAGTGGTGTGGTGAGAATTTTTTTCCAATGTAAAACATGTGCCTTGGCTTAATAAAGGTTGGGAAACATTGAACTACACGGTCAAAACAGGATAATCATCAACTTAATTCAACAAATCAAAAAGCCAAAGCCCAATACCAACAACACAGAGGAGCAAAAAAAAAAAAAAAAAGCTCAAGTATGACAAGCTTCAGAGAGTAGCGCTGTCTCTGCTCGGGGAAGGATAAGGGGTGTACATATCTTACAGTACATCTTTGCGTTACATTGCACACTCCGTCTGTCAGCTCTCTCACTGCAGATGGCTTCGCAACTCGATGCACCCTCTTCAGCCTCGCCACGCTCTGGCCGCCATCAACCAGATATCACTCGAGCCGGGACCGCTCTGTCAGTCTGGCAGGGCAAGTCTGCTCACACCACCCACTCTGGTGGCATCTTTCACCTCTACTCGTGTCCGAGGGGCACGACGTGTATCGCGTTTGTCACAGATACCAAAAGACAGTTTGCCTTCCATTGCTTTGAGTCACTTGAAGGTGGAGAGTCATGAAGGAGGATGGAATCTAAAGTGACCGGCGGGTGGTTCGGGTGTGTGAGACATATTCTGGACATGACGACACGGATCCAGTATTTTCATCACATCCTCTTCAGCTCCCATCATTTGAATCATCTCCACTTGTACGAGGCAGCAAAGTTGGAATCCGAGGTCAAGTGGAGAGAGAGAAAACGTGGCATTGCAGCATGATCTCAGGTGACGTACACGTGGAAACCAGCGTTAGGGGGAGGGTGGCATTACTGGTAGCCCACTGGGCTGTCCATGAGTGGGCTGGAGCAGGAAGTGTCGGGGGGGTCTTGGAGCTGAGTCTCATGGGTCTGGGTGTGCTCTTCCTCTCCCTCCTCCTCTTCTTCTGTTGGGCCATGGGCTGAACTCTGGGAGCAGGCCATGGCGCCATAGTTGTGGTGGGCCGGGGAGGGCATGGGGGTCAACGCGAGCTCTGGCTCCAACAGTACGGATGCCACAAACAGCTGAAGGGATAACAATGTATACAGTAATTGTGTTACTCAGTCGATCGGGTCATGCGGTTCAAAGAATTTTCAGTATGGTGTGACTTCCTGAGTGCAACCGAATCCCTTCCGTGACGGTTAGTTGGCTCCCATGTTGTTCCCAATTCAGAACTCTTTTATATACAGTACATCCACTTAACTATAATACATATGCTTCCTGTGGCCATCATAAACCCTTCAGAACTGTACAGGCAATGTTTCGATGTTTGAACATTCCTAACTATAATTTGGCAAAATATAAGTGCATACTGCACAGTGACTTTCTGAACACCCATATGTGGAGAAGTTAATCACCGTGCAATATGAAACGAATACAAATTAGGTAAAACTACTTACGTAACCTTAGTGAGATGTCTGACTGACAATAAGGAAGAGGGAATAGGATATTTGCAGAACAATTTTGTCACATAGTGGCAAGTATTGGTGAAATCAAGTGTGGTACGCTCAGTGATTTCTTACAAACTCTTTCAAAAAAATGTTTGCGGCAAAGGTTTGAACGGCAAGTTTTGTTTGACTTTCGAGGCATATTTGCTTGAACTCCAAATCTACTTTTGGGGCCTTTGGACTTTGGAGGATCAACAGTATAAGTTAAAATAAAAGACCTCAAAAATAAAATAGCTCTAACAGGTCAACAAAAAGCAGGAACACTGTCATACTTTAATCTATCATTGACACAGTTTCAACAGAAAGCTTTCGAACCTGTGGAGTGCCGCAAGGCTCAATTCATTGACTTCCAAGGTTTAAAATTTGCATGCTGGTATTAACCAACATCATGAAATATTCTATTGCTTTAAATCCACGTGTGGGTAGAGAATAGACAGATTACATCACCTTACAAAGGCAGTAAAAGTAAAACTATTTTGTTTGTATTTTAGATAGCATGTTGCTATTAAGAAATTAGGACTGGTTTATCGTCAGAATAAGTTTAGTTTTTTGGTACATTTTTGACACAGTACATGATGTCACATCAGAACTGTGATGTGTTGTGGTTGACTGGGGCTGAGAACATTTTATACTCTGCATGAAATCACTTCACATTATGTCATGTGATGAAATGCATTCCAATGTAATAGTAGGGTGTCAAGTTTTTGGGGACATACTGAGTATACAGTATTTGTCTGTTTTAGCTTGTGAAGCTGTCAAAACACAAATATTAAGTGTTCCAATTCAACACACAAATCTTGTGGACTATTTTCAGTCAACCATCAAAATGAACAATTTACAGGTAAAAATGAATCACATGTTGTTAATACAATTTAAAAACACGGCAAACTGTAAATTAGACTAGGCGATAGTAGCAAAAATTGTACGTTACATTGGAAGCGGTGGTTGAAGTAACTGTAGTCCTTTCTGCATCAGGGAGTGTTCGCTCTGCTGGTTGATTGGACATCTGAAATCAACACAAATGTATCATGGCAAACTGAGACGCATTAAAAATAATGATCCATTTATCAAAGGTGTGAAGTTGAAGTCTGATCAGGCTGACCTGGTAGCTGGTTGACTTGTTTGGTTGCTTTTTAAGGCACAAGCGGAAAAAGGAAACGGCAATGGAGGAAAGCAGTGACACCAAAGTAAACAAAGTTATGGGATGCACTGCACCTGTAAAGGCAGCAGGCAATAATTCATCACGTCAACAAGGACTCACGGCCCAATCGCAGGTATTAATGAGGGAACGGGATTAAAATGAAGCGGTACCTAATCTGAGTATGGAGAAGAAGAGCAGCCAGAAGATACAGAGGATGGGCGCCAAGATGACCTGATGGATGGCGGCTGTATGGATGTGCTGGTTGAGCTTGGTGGGAACATATGCATAGTAGATGTTGTAGCGGTCAACCATGTGCTTCAAGATCACATAGAGCAGACCTGAAGAGGGACAGAAACGCAGATTTGATCAACATTAGACCTTCTACTCCAATCACATCCAGCACACACATTGACAAAGATATAAGCGTCTGAACGCGCAAAATAAGATTTTTTTAAATCACTGCCAAATTCACACATGACAGCCTCTGACTCCGTACGCACAGCAAAGTTCAATAACTTTAATGGAGACACAATAAAGTGATTTGTTTTTCAATAATAGAAACACATTTAGGGCAGCAGTGTGATTGCATTGACAAAACAATATTCAATCTTAAAATTTTAGGGTGTTCACTCCAAGACCGTAGCGCCAATAGTTGTAATTATTACAAGCACCTGGTGTATTGTCTTTTCTTGTATTGAATTATTAATAAGTGTTGCATTATATGTTTTCAAAACAACTATATCTTCTACTAGACAAAAAACGTATAAGTAGCACTGTCAAGAACAATTGTTGCTTGTATGTACCAAAACAGTATACTTGGGTGGCAAGTAATGACGAATTTTCAATTCATTCTGTTGACCGAACTCTCTGAAAGCATCACATCATATCTCCCTGTTGAATGGAACATTCATCATGTAGTATGCACAGGTTTTAGGGTAAATATCATCACCCTAATTACTCTTGAGGGGTTATGCACTAGCTCTGGAATGGCAGGCCGAAGACGAGAGTGAGGTTAGGGATTCACACACACAGAGTAAAGAGAAGGTGCGAGACTATGTGATGCTTAGTGTGTGTCACTCACCAAAGGGTGTAATAATCGGACAAGTGATGCTGTAGGTCACACTGACAGCAAAGATACACATGGTCCAGGCGTACTCCAGGCCAAATTGAAACTCATAGGTTTGAGTCTGCATACATATGCACAATAGAACTTGACCACGATCTGAAAAACTCGGTAAAGCTTCGAGAAGAGGCAACCAGCTCACCCGCTTGACATGAATACGCTCAGCCTGAGACTTTGCGAAGCAGAGGCGGAGGCCATACACTGTCAGCGCTGGGATACGGAGCAGTTCCATTGCTGTGCCGATCAGCGCGGAAGTGATCACGTAGTTTACAAAGAATGCACCGTTGTCAGGGAGAAAGACACACCTGTGCATACAGAAAGATGAAATTGTCACTGATTCTTAAGAAAGACATATTTGAACACACACACACACACACACACACACACACACACACACACACACAGGTAGAGAGAGAGAGAGAGAGAGAGAGAGAGAGAGAGAGAGAGAGAGAGAGAAAGAAAGAACATGTTTTGCATCTTACTGGAATTTGACTTCCTTTTCATCAAGAAAGTTGACATCAAAAAGCCAAGTGAAGAACAGGTCCAGACTACAGAGTAAACATAATACAAAGTAAACAGCGGTTACATCTACAGTGTCATGTTTTTTGCATCAAATGTTCATATGTGTTTCTGTGGGCGCACCTGGACAGACCAAGCGAGGGCAGGATGAGGACCATAAAAACTAGTAGTAAAAAGCACTTGTGCATTGTGACCTGGTTCTCGTTGGATCTGAGGATACCAAAGAAATGACAAGGGCATCACTGTGCAATACAGACATAGTACGTACACTTCAATAGCCACCTTAGCAATTGCATTAGAAAACTGTGGATAACGTTCCTTTGAGAGTAATATTGCACTGCATGCATCAATACAGTAAA